TATTATTATTATTATTATTATTATTATTATTATTATTATTATTATTATTATTATTATTATTATTATTATTATTATTATTAACATGCTCTGATGCTAAGGAGTTCTCCCCACCTGAAAAGAAACCTGTTCCAAATGCAAAACACAAGCAGAGGAGAAGAGTTTCAGTTTCAGTTTCACAGCAGCAAGCAGCTTTAGTACAGAACAGTTGAGCTAAGCCACGCCCAGGCTCCTTGCTGTCTCCTTGCTCACACAGCAAATACTGCTTTAGTTTCCAAACAGCCCTCAACTCTCACACACTGACAGGACGCTAGCCAGATGAATGACGATGGATGCTGGTAGGCAGAGGCACAATTTTTCCCCTTATTTTCCTCCCCCAAAACTAAGCCCGATCACATAGTTTGGTAGCGAAGCACGGTTAATGAGCCAGTCTCCTTATAACGAAACGCAGCACCCTGTCCTGCTGCTCAGCAAAGAACAAGTGCTCAGAATGAGAGTTGGATGAGAAGCTTGGCCTCATAGCTGATTCTCTTGCTGCTTTGTTAGGGACCTGGATTCCTGACCCCCCAACCTGTGTGAATTGGGGGAGCTTGAAATTTGCAAGCCTTTTTTTGACTTCCCGGAGGAAGTAAAACGTGGAAATGTTGCTTAATTGTAGGTGGTGGTGGGCCCTAACAAGGTCTTTCCAGAAGGCACAGTCGTATCCCTGCATCCTGCAGATGAAGAAGAGTATGATGAAGATGAGTTCAGTGACGACGAGGATGTGAACAAGGAGAAGAGCAAAGTGAAGCAAAAAGGTAGGGGGAGAACTTGGTCCCCGGGATTTGTTGGAGAGCGAGACTGTTCTCCTGCAGGTTTTCTAGGGAGACCCTGATCCAGTATCTGAGGGGCTACCAGAAACAAGAGGCGGTCAACTTATTCTCCAAAATTACCTGAAGGCAGGACAAGGAGCAACTGATGGAAACCAGTCGAGGAGAGAAAGCAACCTAGAACTGAGAAGAAACTTTCCTATCAGTCAGAACAATTAACCAGTGGAACACCTTGCTACCAGAAGTTGTGGGTGCTCCAACACTGGAGGTTTTAAAGAAGAGACTGGACAGCCATTTGTCTGACATGGGTTTCCTGCCTGAGCGGACTAGAAGACCTTCAAGGTCCCTTCCAATTCTGTTATTCTCTTCTGCCTTTTTCCCATAGAGTCTTCCTTTGGGAGCCTGCTAAGGATTTAAGGATAAGGATTAATAACTGCTAAGGATTAAGCAGCTGGAGAAAGAATCTGCTTTGAACGAGTAGGTGGGAAGGGGATGATGATGAAGCGGTGGAGGAAAAGTGGGCTCCAGGCTCTTAACTCTTATTTGGGCACAGTTGAAATCCCCTTTCCAGCCATTTTATTTTACCTAGCTTTTGTTGCTCTCTTGTGATGCAAATACTTTCTTATTTATTTATTAGATTTGTGTCCTGAGTTTCGTTCAAGAGCTTTAGTTGGTTTATACATAGCTCGCTCTCCTACTTTTTGGCAAAAGAGAATATTTGCAGCTTGGGGTTGAATTGGGGGGGGTGGGGTCCTTGATGCTCTCTGAGCTTTGTGGTTTTCTTGCAGACATTTCATTGCCAAACTAGATAATATCCGTGCTAGCCCCTATTTCTCTCCCCCCCCCCCAATATTGCTCAAGGTATGTTAAGCAGAGAGAGAAATTTAGGGTGGTCGAGAGCGGGCTTGCACCTCAGTATCCTTCAGCCTAGTCCCAGACCTATCAGCACCAGGGAAATCAGGGATCCAGGCAGTTCAAATGCATATAAAGATCTACTGTAAGCAAAAGCTGTCTACAAGAATCTGAACTACTAATGGTCAAGGGAAATTAACAGGAAAATAGAAAGGCCTCGAGAGCCGAAGAAAAGCACCATTAGTGTCAAGCGCGGGAAAATCAGGAAGTCCAAGCAGTTTAAAATGAATGAAGGTTATTGCAAGCGTTCGTTCTCTACAAGAATCTGACCTACTAACAGTCAAAGCAAATTGGTGGTAGATAAGACTCAGCGGAATTCAAGGGGGCCTGGACTTAGATCTCTTGTGGGTGCGAAGGGATTCATGGCCGATGATGCATTTGACTCCTCCCTCGCGCTCAGCCTGATCATCGCCTACGACACCTTTACCATCACACCATGTAGGTTCTCGGCTTACTAGTTCCAGATGCTGCCCCTGAAGTAATTAACCCCACAATAGGTTTTGGTTTGTGAAGATAGACGTATGCCTCATTCATTATGTATGATTTCTGTTGCTTCCTCTTAAACCAACCAGTATTTGAAGCAAAAGGCGCCGCGGTTGCGCAATGGTTAGAGTGCAGGACTGCGGGCTACTTCTGCTGACTGCCGGCTGCCTGCAATTTGGCAGTTCGAATCCCACCAGGCTCAAAGTTGACTCAGTCTTCCATCCTTCCGAGGTCGGTAAAATGAGGACCCAGATTGTTGGGGGCAAGAGGCTGACTGTAAACCGCTTAGAAAGGGCTGTGAAGCAGTGTGAAGCGGTATATAAGTCTGAGTGCTATTGCTCAAAGGCATCCTTACTTAGGCTAGAAGGGATGAGGGCCTAAGACTGCTGTTCCTCAGCCACCATCTTCCTCTGTAGCCAACTTGGTGGTAAAGGTAAAGGTTTCCATCGCACATCCGTGCTAGTCGTTTCCGGTTCTAGGGGGCGGTGCTCATCTCTGTCACAAAGCCGAAGAGCCAGCGCTCTCCAAAGACATCTCCGTGGTCATGTGGCCAGAATGGCTAAATGCTGAAGGCGCATGGAACGCTGTTACCTTCCCACCAAAGTGGCCTCTGTTTTTCTACTTGCATTTTTTACATGCTTTCGAACTGCTAGGTTAGCAGAAGCTGGGACAAGTAATGGGAGCTCACTCCGTTTACACGGCGCTAGGGGTTTGAACCGCCGAACTGCCGGCTTTTCTGATCGACAAGCTCAGCAGCCCCTGAGCCACCAAGTCTCTAACTTGGTGCTAGGATCAGAAAAAAAAAATAGCTAATGAGGTAGACTTGTGGGGTCCTTGGTGCTGTAGGACCTTGGCTGTTTTCTTGCAGACGCTTCACTGCCCAAACTAGGTAACATCATCAGTGCTAGAAGGGAAGAGGGTTTGTAGAGAGGAGGAGGAGGAGAAAGAGGAGGAGGACGGGCATTATGGAGGCCTTGGTGCTCTCTGAACTTCGTTGTTTTCTTGCAGACGTTTTATGACCCAAACCAGGTAACATCATCAGTGCTAGAAAGGAATGAGGGAGGAAGAGGCAGGGAGGAGGAGGAGGAGGACCAAGTTCTGAGAACAACAAGGATCTCTCGTTTCAGCTTTGAGCCACAGATATTCTCCTTTAGGGTAGATTTTTTGGGGGGACTGCTTGTCAACACACCCATTTCTTTTGTTTAGTTGGGTGCTTTTCTCCCCAACGATGGTTAATCAAGCCAACGTTAATTTTCTACTTCAGGCTACAACACCGAAGAGGTTGGCTTACAAGGCAGAGGTTACCTTTGGAAAGCAGCCGATGAAAGCGACGCGAACCAGGAGGAGCAAAGACAAAGCCTTTGGGGTAAGCAGGATATAGGAAAAAATGGGATTCCGAATGCTGTGACCGGCACGGAATGGCGGGTAGTCCCACGGCCCTCCGCGATTCTTGAAAGTGGCAAGAATTGACAAGAAAAGTGGTGCAGCAGCGGGAATGAGGCAACTGGCCACCGCCAACTTGTAGCAGGTGAACTTGCCACGGCCAACTCTCCGCGAGGCAACTCGTTGCGGGACAATTTTAACCCATTCTATTTCATGATTTGGAATAAATTAAGAATTGTTTTAATTTTTGCCCTTCGCGTTTCATGCTGTCCCTCCTTTTGCATCCTTTCTTTAATGATACTGTTCCGCCATTTCTTTGATGTTAGTGTAACTCTTGTCCCGCAAGGAAGTTGTTCTGTGGCGAGTTGCCCTGCCGCAAATTGCTCGTGGCAAGTTGGCCATGGTGGGTTGGCTGTGGCAGATTGGTGATGGTGAACTGGCTGTAGCGAATTGTCATAGACCCGCAGCAGCCTTTGGAGCAGGGGTGTGATGACCCAGGGTGGGATACAAAATAAACACAGTCACAAAAAAACAGGTGAAGCTCCTTTTATTCCTTCACTTTGCTTCCAAGCTCCAAATATCCTTGACTGGAGACAAAAAACTCCCCCACAAGCAGTTACAAGAAGGAGGAAATGCCGTTTAAATTATAAAGAGTAAAAAACAACACAAACTAGGCAAGATAAGGGCTGGAAGACATCCACAGATATCAGAATACCCACTGGGAAGGATGCCAAACTCAGAGAGGAACCATAAACTAGAGATATTTCCATGCTTTGTTTCCAGCACTCGCCTGTACGCATGTCCGTCCTCTTATCCAGTTGTCACAGCTGCAGCCCATGAAGAAGATCAAGGCCCTCTCCTCCCGAGTAGACCACGTCTCTCCCTTATTCTCTCCTCCCTGCGTGCCCTAGGATGGAGAGGGGATGGGCCTGGGTCCTCCTCTGACTGCCCAGCCGGTCTCTGCCCTTCCCCAGCCTCCTCCACAACCTCCGGAGCCACACTTCCACTCCCTGTCGGCTGTTCCTCCTCTCCCTCAGAGTCAGTCTCCACCAGGGGCATGACAAGGGGTCTCCAACCTTGCCAACTTTAAACCTGGCTGTTCTGACCCAAGTCTCATTCAAATCAAATAAACCCAAAAAACATAAAAGTAACCCTTTTTAATGTGTCTCTGTGAATTCTGTTCATTCACAGCAAAAAGTCATTAAAACTAATTGTCCCAGACAAGAGCAAACCCTTTCAAGGTTATGAAAGGCTGCCAAGAACACAAGATTAATTGCAGGGAAATATCCAAAACCAAAAGTCTCCGAAAACAAACCAGAATAGACAGGACTTCCACAAGAACTTAGAGTTGAAAGAACTTCTTTGCTTCCTGCAAAGAACCCAACCCCTGAGGGCTGGCTTTTATCCCTTATGGGAAGGGCCATCACCTTACAGCTTTACTCCTGAGTCGCCTGTGCTGCTGCAGCTGCTCTTTCCTTTGAGTAGCCCTGCACACACATGTACTGGGCACAGGTTCCTCGGGGTCCTCTGCATCACTGCTGCCAGACTCCACAAGCTCCGAAGGCAGCACCCCACTCTCCGATAGTCCTGGCCCCATCCCTGCATCACACACAGGCCCCTCATCTGAGTCCTCGCTCTCAGAGACCTCAGCTGTCCTCACGTGCTGCCGGCGAACCACAACACTGGTGGACTTCAACTCCCAGTTAGTAACAAATCCATGTGATTGTTAAGTTAAGTGTTAAGTTATCCATGTGGTTGTTAACTGGGTTGTTAAGTGGCTTCCCTATTGACTTTGCTTCTCAGAAGGTCACAAAGGGGAATCACGTAACCCTCAGGACACTGTCATAAATACGAGTCAGTTGCCAAGCATCTAAATTTTGATCACATGAACATTAGGATGCTGCAACGGTTGTAATTGTGAAAAACTCTCGTTTAGTCCCTTTTTTTCAGTGACTTTGAACAGTCACTGAACGAACTGTCGTAAGTCGAGGACTACCTGCACTCCAGGACAAAAGAGCCATTCAAGAACCAGTTTTGTAAGAACGACAGTAGCAGGAAAGAGGTTGATAAAAATATAGTCCTTGACCTGAAAATACTGGATAGAAACACGAATTTGTGAAAAAGGGTGCTGGAGCGAAATCCGAGAACTTCAGAAGATTTCTTTCCTCCCATCTTAACTAGGCCTCACCGTAAAGACCGAAGAAGAAAGTGAGTCTGAAAGTGATATGAGCTTTGGGTCTGAGCAGATGGACAGCCGGACAGCTTCCCCTCAGATGGACGACATCAAAGGTAATCTTGTTCCTCTCTCTTGTGGCAGGGCGTTGACTCTTAAATGCACCTCTCCTGCATGACATTAAAGGAGAAACTGACTTGAGTATGAGGGGAAAAAGCTTTCTGGCTTTCAAAATGGAGGCCAAAGGTTGCTTTTTATCAGCTCTTCATCCACCTGAGTAGTCACTCAGCTTCTAATCTGCTCTTGATTTCAGTTTTCCAGAATGAGGTGTTGGGGACTTTGCAGAGAGGTGAAGAAGAAAAAATCTCTTGTGACAACTTGGTTCTGGAGATCAACTCTCTCAAGTAAGACATTGGTCAGGGTTTTGTGACTTTAGGACAGGGCTCTTCAATCTTGACAGCTTTAAGACTTGTGGACTTCAACTCCCAGAATTCCTCCTCCAGTCATGTTAGCTCAGGAATTCTGGGAGTTGAAGTCCACAAGTCTTAAACTTGCCAAGTTTGAAGACCCTTGCTTTAGGAGAATGTGGTGCTGTCCAGAGACAGGTTTGGGCCAAGACCTGATTAGCAGAGATGTAGGTGGCCAATCTCCCAGTTTGTGCACCTAAACATTTGGTTTATTTTTAAAATTTAAACTCGGGTATTAGTAGTTATTTCAACGAAATTTTGTTCTGGACATGCATTTGTTTAGTCAGTTTAAATGTTTAGTCCTGCTCTTCTCTGTATATAACTTGTATTGTGTTATCAATGTATAAAATACAAAGAAAAATTAAAAAAAGAAATTAAGGGGGAAAAGGGGGAAACAAAATATGAGGTACAAGGGAAGAAAGAAAATGGCATTGACTTTCTCCACAATAGAAGATAACATTACAACCTCAACTTTTTTTACTTTTATACATTAGTATATAACTGGGCATTTAGAATAAAATAGAATAACAGAGTTGGAAGGGAGCTGGAGATCTTCTAGAACAGTGGTCGCCAACCTGTGGGCCAGGGACCACTGGTGGTCTGTGAGAAAATTTTGGTGGTCCACAGAGAAATGTCACCCCCAGAGCACTCCCCAAAGCAGTTAATCCAGGCTGCACAGGAACACAAGACTGTGCTGCCCACATGGCTCGCGGGAACACAAGGCTTGCGTCGCTTGCATTGCAAACAACACAAAGTAGTGAGGGGAGGGGAGAAAGGGGGGGGGAATTTGCTCCACTTGCCCCACGCGCTTTACCTGGCCACTGGGCTGCTTCTTTCCACTTCTTTCTTCTACTTTTGGCTGCACACAAGGAAAGCAGCAAAACTCTTTCTTTCTCTCCCCCAAACTCTGCCAGAAATGAGTCTTTGGGACCCTGCAAGGCCTCCTACTCCAAGAGGCTGCGCCGGCAAAGACTCATTTCTGGTGGAGTTTGGGGGGAGAGAAAGAAAGACTTCTGCAGCTCCTGCTGCTTTCCTTGCATGAAGCCAAAAGTCTCTCTCTTTCTCTCTCTCTTCCTGAGAACGGAGCTGGAGATGGTATCCTGCGATCCCAAATAAAGAACGATCAATCGGTAGGAAAACAGGGTGGGAAATTTTCCTGCAGACTTTTTTTGGGATTTTCCCAGGGTCTCTGGTCGCGGGATTTAAAATTATGAGTTTGGTGGTCCCTGACGTCCAAAAGGTTGGTGACCCCTGTTCTAGTCCAACCTCCTGTTTAGGCAGGAAACCTGTACCATTTCAGAATGTGTAATGTACCTAGCATATTGGAGTCAGAGCCATACAGAAAAACAATAACACAGATAAACAAAATGTCCACTATGGCAGAAGACAAATCTTTTTTTTTCCCAACCATAAGTGCTTCACTGAATCAAAACAAATTTCTCCCTCTAGAGCAGGGGTGTCAAACTCGATTTCATTGAAGGCCGCATCATTTCTATAACAACACATCTATCTAATCAGCAAAACCAAAGTCAAAGTTTAATTTTTTTCCCTATCACAAGCACAAAATCTAGAAGTGAGATCCAAATTAAAAAAAAAAAACCACAGATGTATTCTCATTGAACAGAACAATTGATTTAACCGTTACTGCTTTATTTTCCTTGCTGTTGAAATCATATGTACATCTGTTTCGTCCCACTCTTGAATCTGTGCTCCTGTCATGCCCCTGTTGGAATCTGATTCTGAGGGAGAGGTGGAACAGTGGGCGTGGGGCTCCGGTGACTGTGGAGGAAACTGGGGAAGGGCATAGTCCGGCTGGGCATTCAGAGGAAGACCCAGGCCCACCCCCTCTTCATCCTAGGGCACGCAGGGAGGAATGGAGAAGGGAGCAACGTGGCTTATGGGAGAGGAAAGGGCCCTGATCCCCTTCATGGGCTGCAGCTGGGAAAATAGGATAAAGAGGGTGTTTGCGCACAACTCCTTGCTGGAAGCAAAGCGTGAATTATTTTGGTTTGCCAAGTCTTATCTGAGTTCTGGTGTCCTCCCAACTGTGTGTGTTTCATTATCTTTTGAAGTCTTCAATTCCTTATCCTGCCCTGTTTCATTAATTGCTGCAGCGTGGTTTGTGTTGGTTTTTATTTATAATTTATATGTACTTTGGGTTCAGACAGAATTTCTTCCCTTTACAAACTGTTTTTGGAAGAGTTTTTTCTCCAGCCGATGATAACTGGACATTGGGGGCCAAGTTGGAGGTATTAAAGGGACTTTACCTATTTTTGTGACTTCGTTGCTTTTGTGCCATGCTCCGGGTCATCACAGCTCCTTTGGAGATCGTTCATGTTCATACAGTGTCAGAAAAGGTGTACATTGTCTAAGACAGATGAAACAAAGAAAGGTTGGCATGATCTGTAAATAACAGGGACGACTGTTAACATTTCTCCTTCCCTTTGCAGATTCGCCTACAACATTGGCCTGAAAGAAGTGATGGCGATACTGAGCAAAGTTGTATTGGAATATCCTCTACAGCAGATGAACGCGGAAAAGGATCCTCAACATTATTGCACCTTGGTAGTCCCTGTGAGCATCCATCTTCCCTTGGTTTAGCCTGCCTTTAAATTCATTGAGGGTTTCTTCTGCCCAGAGTTCAGGGGTTGGTTGTTTCAGACAGGTAGGTGAGCTGAAAGCTGCAGGATGCACTGCTAAGGTGCCAAGGAGTCTTGTTCATTTGCAAGTTTCTTCATTAAAATTGTTTTTTTTTAAAAAAAAAACACCACAGAACAATATTAATTTTACTGCTTTTTAAAGCAGTAAATTGTATCTTCTTGGCATGTAATGTTTCTTGGTCATTCTTTGTGGGTTGCGGGTGCTTCATCATTAGAGGTTTTTAAGAAGAGACTGGACAGCCACTTGTCTGAGATGGAATAGGGTCTCCTCCTTGAGCAGAGGGTTGGACTAGATGACCTACAAGATCCCTTCCAGATTCTATTCTATTCTA